TTCCTGAACTGTTGTTGCTGTAGACTGTTTTGTTCGGTAGATTTTGATCTTTTTTCATGTATTGATAGAATGATTTATTTGGTTCTTTATATTTTTGAGGTTTATTTTGATTGTCTTGCTGTTTTTGTCTACATTCAGAAATACTATGTCCGTATCGTCGGCAATAATTACACCATTTTTTGAAAGATGGTTTGCCTTTAAAGTTTGGGTGTTTTTCGTAAATATTGAGTATTTCAGTGATTTTTTCAACGAGATCTGTATCTGATTCCTGTATATTGTTTATATTTGTGGAAGCTGTTTCAATTCGGTTAACGTATTGTAATTTCAGATTTTCCGTTTCTTCGAGTTTCATTGTGATTTCTGCTTGTTCTAGTTTGTCTACTAGTTTTCGAAAATCTAAATCGGGTTCTCGAATTGACGAAGGATGGGATGCTCTCTTTTTTATTGCTATTTTCCTTAATTGTGGTGTTAAGGTCATCATTAAGATTTCTGTCATCTTTGTGTTGTTTTTATAGTCATGTGTATTTAATGAATATGCTTTTCGAACTAGTGTTTCGATTCGTACTGCTAATTGCTTGATGGTTTCGTTTGGTAATCTGCGAATTTCATTACATAAAACTCTGTTGTTGTTTGTTTCTTTCGGAGTCAAACATTTTTGAAAATTCTTGTGTAAATCTTTTCCAATTTGATTTTATTTCTATAGGCAATACTGAAAACCATTTTTGGGCTGCGCCATCTAGAGTTGTTTGTATTAACGCTGTGCGTCGATGTATCCAGTTTTGATGTAGTGGCGTATTAATTGGTTCAGGTCCTATATTTAAAATCAAATTTGCTGTGACTGCATTTAAATAGTCTTCTACAGAATATTCAGGGTCTGTTCCTGTGAATACCATTAAAGGTTTATTTGATGTTATTGATGATCCACCCATAAGGTATGGATTCATCGTCATTTGTAATGATTCTGCTGCATTTGGCATTTGAGAAAAATTTGAAAGTTGATTTCTTGTTATTTCGTGTTGTTGAAGATAATATGGGAGTGGTATTTCATTTTGCATTTGTGCTGGTTGGTACGAGTTTGCAATCATTGGGTTTTGTTGCTGAATTGGTTGAAAAGATTGTGTATTAATTGGGTTTTGTTGTTGAATTGGTTGTTGATTTTGTGTATCTATTGGTTGTGGAGAAAAAATTCTATGATATGTATGTGGTTTCTGTATTCCTTGTCCACGATATTCTTGATTATAGGGTGTAAATATATCTGGTTGTAAGAAATCATCATCTGAGGATAAGTAATCCATTTGATAAGATGTTTGTTTTTTATTTTTATTTTGTTGAAAAAATGGATAGTTTTCACTACGATCCTGTGGAGGATGTAAATTTGTTTGGAAATTTACTGAATTAGGTGGTGCCATTGGGTTATCCCAGTTTCGAGATCTTGTATAATTACTAAAATTTTTTCGTGGTTGATAATTTGTTTTTGATGGATGTGTGTAATTATAATTATGGTCTGCAAAGTTGTTTCTAGTGAACGTTTTGCGTGTTTTTGGCGGTATTGTCATGGGTCTGTATGTTTGGTAATCCATGTGTGAATATTTTGGGGCAACCGAAGGTTTAACGGTTGATTGTAATGTTACCTGTGTTTGTGAAGGATTTGTATTTCTTGGTGTTGTTAAGTTTGGACGTATTGGTGAAATACTTTGTTGTGTAGTTGTTGTGTGTACGATTTCTTCATTTATGAAGTGTGATGGTGTCTGGATATCTTGTTGAGTAAGATTCCTAGTTCCATTGAGGTTTTCATTGTGTATGACTGTAGAGTTTAAACTATTATTTTGCATATCGGGTAAAAATGTATTATAGTTTAATGGTGTTGCATCAATGGTTAATGGTATTACTCGTACATAATCTCTTACATAAGATATCGTACTTATTGCTTGACTTGAGATTGATTGTGGGAAGTTTATGAATGCGGGATGAGACCATTCGGGGTCCCAAACATAGTCTGATTGTTCTGTGATGGCAGTATCATCGTTTGAGTTTTGGGGTCTAAAATTTTTTCTTGCTTGTGAAATTAAATCAATATTATGTGTGAAATAATCTATTATGAACCATGCCAAGATTTTTTGTAAGTCGTGTTTTGTATGTTGTGAAACTTCATCTTTCGTGAAATTTTCTTTAATTATATTTAGAAAACTAGAGAGTAGTGTGATTTCATGTCGTACTCTTATATGTTTAGATGTTTCTGTCGGTGAGACATTTGGTATCTGGATTTCGTTTTCTATATGGATTCTGGAGATATAACTATATATTATCGCAAAAACTTCATTGGTGAATATGGAGTTTACTCTTTGTGAGTTATGATATTGGATGCTTTTTATATATTCTGAGAATACTTTTGAGAATTCTAAATCAAGGTCGTCTGTTTGAATTATATATTTACTGTGATTCTGGTTTGGTGAGCTGAATTCTATGGAGTAGATTCCGTATTGTTGTGTTAGGTTACATATATCTTTTAGATAGTGATCGATAATTTGTCTTTTGATTTTTACATCTGGGAACTCTGTTTTACATGGACTGATTCCGGGTTCAAACAAATTTAAGAGTAAATTTTTGCAGAATATATGTTGTCCTCTATCAGTGGTTGCATCTACGATAAAGGGGAAAATATCATCATCATCTGGACTTTCTTCACCTGGGGTGTGCGTTGAGCTCATTTTTTCGTTCGATGACTGTTAATATGTAATTATCAATGTGTCTAATTGGTTGATTCCAATTGTATAAATGTACTGGTTTGTGTTTATACTGCTTTTTTATTCTTCTTTTTCCTTTTTTTGATGAATTTGAAGTTGTTTCTGAGTCAGAGAAATATAATTGATCGTGAATTGGGCAATTTTTATCTATTGATTCTTTTAGTTTATAAAGTTCGTCTAAACTGTTGGTTTCTGATTCTGAAAATGCGTTTCGATTTTTTGAAAATCTTTTTCGTGTTATTTGTCTTTGTTTAGTTATTATTTTTCTCTTTAATGTTTGTCGTTTTGTTCTAATGTATCCAACTGTTTGTGTATGAGGTGTGATTACAAGGTCGTATTTTTTGTTATTTATTTCACAATTGTGTAAAACGATTGTTTGTTTATTTCCTAGGTTTTTAAATGACAGAAGGTTTAGGATGACGGATGCAAAAGGTTGTTAAATGATTTCTATTTGCTTAAACTGTTAGTCCTTTTTTAGTTTTTTTTTGTTAGCCTAACCTGGGTCTATTTGTTCAGGGTTGGGGAGAAAAGTATATCGATTCCGAAGAATGATTTTATACTTTCTCGTGGCTAGTATAAGCTAAGGTGTTAACTTACTTAATCTTACTTAAGGGTAGTGATTGTGTTCAGGGTTGGAGAATAGTAAATCGATCCACAGGGTTCAGGTATAATTAGAACGCGAGTAGTTCGTTAGATACTATTTTAAACTTACTAAGTCTAAGATTTATCCTGGGTCTGGTAAGAGGGGGGATCAAGTGAAGGATGAATAACCGAAGTTCTTCACTGTTTATCCTAATTTGAATGATTAGTTTTGTTCAAAAATTTCTATTAGTCCTGGGTTTTTAGAAAGGGTTGGATAGTGAATCGACGTTTGAGGTCGTTAGACACTCGTTAAGTGGGTGGGGGAGAACAAAGTTGTTCTTTTTGATCCAAGGATAGGCCTTGATGATCAAGTTTTAAATTTAATTAAATAGAAAATGATTTAAGATCCAAGGATAAGCCTTGATGATCTGATTTTAAAATTAAGTGAATTTAAGTTTAAAATGTTTTAAATTTGTGTAAGGAATAGATTTAGTATTTTTATGATATTAGTGAGCTTATGATTGCTGTTATGTTTAGGTGATGAAGCTGGAACAACAGGATGATTTATAATTACTAACCATTTATTGTCATGCTACTAATTTTTATTTTGATTTTTCAATAAATATTTTTCAAACATGTTTTGTATATTACTGCAGAATTTAGGAAAACGATCTGAGATCTTTTTATCAATCGTTATTGTATATTAATAATTTTGTTTAGCGCCTGAAATGATTTTGAAGATTGACTTCAAAATTTTATGTTTGCAAATGAAAATCTAAATTCATTGCTAGTAGTATTCTAAATACAAAAGTTTGTTCTGGCTTTTGCCGAACTATCATATAACTATATGGTAAGTTTCTGCTTTGTCGTATGTCGTCTCTGGTTCGAGGTCTTCTTCCAATTCCGGGTAGTTCTGTTATCGTTCGGAATATTGGCTCTGATCTATTGAGTCGTAGAGACATTTCGATTAAATTATTGTCGTATAACATTTTGTAAATGTTTTGTCTAAATTCTAATCTATTATTGGTTAATGCTAAGCTATTAAGGTCTTGTTCGAGACTTATGGTCGCACCAGATGAGTTAGGACCGATGGGTATAACTCATAGAGTAATTTCGGATAGGGTACACCGTCTGCTCGTCACGCTATCTTATTTTCGGCCGGATAGATTCGTGCAACTTCTTAGTCTAATACCGATCCTAATCTTACTCTTATACTATCTAGTCTCAGGTTGTTTAACTAGTCTCTGCTAGGCTCAATAGATCTAGGGTATACTGGTTTATTGCGGCTGCTGAAGTACTCGGGAGAGTTCAACTAATTTCTAAGTTAAATTCAAATCTCTCTGGTGCTGAAATTACAAGTAATTTCAGCACTTACAAATAAGTGGGTTGTTAGTTAGATGGATCATGATTGGTTAATATTAAATACTTTACATTGGTAAAATATCTAATTTATCCAATCATAAAATGTAGTTCCAATCTCTTGAGCTGTCCTGTTTAGTATGTGGAATTAATTCTACAGTTGAGCAGTTAAGCGCATATTAATGAAGAGCATTGCACTAGTACCGGATTTCGCCCCTATTCTGCAATATGGGAAGGGGCTCTTCAATTGTATGATATTTTTTACATTGGCGGACATCTTGAGAAAAGTTGGCTAAATTGAGCAAATTCTCTCACCCACAATTGAGATCGCAGCTGAACCCGAAACACTTGTGCCTTTAGTGGACTTCCCATCTACGCGTCTACGGTTCATTTCTTTTAGAGTATTCAAGTTCTTCTATATATGCTGCAAAAAGAGCTGACATTCATTTACCTGAAAAAAAACTGCAACTGATCACTTTAGCAAAAGAAACGTGGGTATTTTATAAATAATAAGGAAAAGGACTGGGCTAACATGAGTGGGGGCCATGTAGTGCGGACAGTGTTCAGGGTGCTGGCGAAAGCCAAGTGGGGAAAATGCTGAGTCCCTGAAAATAACGAAAATGCATGTCTGAGGTCTTCCCCCACCATATTTAGATTAAAAAAAACCAATTAGTTCATAAATTGTTTTTTTTTTTAATCTAAATATGGCGGGCAAGACCTCAAACATGCATTTTCGTTATTTTCAGGGACTCAGCATTAAGAATTTTGAATAACTTATTTCCAACTCAAGATTCCAAAATGAACAGGCGTGTCATCGATTAATTTATAATTACTTACTAGGGCTCTTTTTACTTTTCCACCACTTCACTCAAACATGAATTTTATGGTCTAACGAGTGGTTTTACAAGGTGTTTTATGACGACCAAATATGTTTGTCATGACCTAATTAGTCTGCATGTCAATTTTCATAACAATCGGACAATGTGATCAACAAAGTTGCAGGTGGTAGTTAAATTTGCAGGAGCCCTTACTAGTGGTAGTTAAACAAAAGTAAAACAGATCAGGCGGCAGTGTACTATTCAGACTACTACCAATCAACTCTGCTCAAAATAGATCGCAGTTCAGATTAAGTTTGAAAAGCTTCAGAAGCCATGACTGACTAAGAAGTCTCTGATAGAGTATCTGTGGAAGCCTTCGAAGGAGACCTCAAGTGCCACTTCATCCACTCGTGATTTGACCTCTGCTTCCTCAATGGTTGAAGACCTCTTGATGACCTCTTTCAGGTCACTCTCCAACTGCCAGATGTCACCTGCCACAGAACAAATAAAACCTTCATTCGGCATATCTGATCATATCTGGAGGATTGTCCCTGAAGCAATGTTAAATGTACGTATAACCTTCACAAAGTCAGTTACATCATACTGCAAGATGATGCAAACAAGTTCAGTATGGGCAAAAACTGACTTGTTTTTTTTAGGCAACCAGCCCGGAGGCCTAACGCGAAGGTTAATTAATTAAGTTGATGTGAGCACATATAACCAATGCCCATTTACGATATGACTTATTGCAAGAGCTCACCTTGCAAATTGTAACGCACGCGCGATTTGAACCAGCAATCATATGCTTGCTGGACACCATCACTACCAGAGCGCCACAACGCAACACCTTGTAATTGAAAGTATAATCGAAACCGAAACCTCATACCAATTTTCTTCTATTTCAAAATACTACACTGGGGCGGAGCGGAACTTTGCATCACTCGATATCTAAATTAAACGAAATTGAGTGAAAAGTACCAAAACAAAACCATACAAAAAAGAACAAATTTCCGACATCTTATTCAATTCACATAGAAAAACCTGGTAAGCCGATCGCTTAAAAAGGAAAATATGACACAAAGGCGAAAAAGAGCTTCGCACCATTTGCAAAAGTTCAATGAAAGACTTTTTCTACTTACAGACGAACTGATAAATCGAACAAAAACCTTCGAACTTTTTTTCTCAAAAAAGTTATAAATGTGTGCAAAAATCTCCGAAATCTTGGAACTGAATTAACTGCACCTTTAGAAATCTTTTGAAGAGAGACAAGACAAAGCATCCCGCTACATGCAATAAAACTTTCAAATATCATGACAAACTAACAGACAAAAATAGAGATGGAAACCGAAGAAAAATATCGAAAAAATTGACCTACAAAAAGTTTTGTATTTATCTTGATTTTATCTTGAATAAAATATTCTTCCGTAAAGAAATGACAAGAAGTAAGACAACTGAGAGTTAAAAAAGCGTCGAAACAAAAATTATGCAGCGGTAACGAAGCCCAAAATTCTTGAGCAGACACCCGTTGAGCCGAAAAGAAATTATTTTATTAGATAAACTTAAATCCTCAAAAATTACCCTTCAACATGCTTGGATGATTTTTTGCTTCTCAATCGAATCAAAAAGAAGTCTCTTAGCCGATATATTATAAGCCAAAATCTTTGAAGCCGAATAAAGAGGGGAACAGAAAAAAACTGATATACTGCAATCGGAGTTGGTAAACTTACAACCAACATTTTAAAAAATTGAAAAGAATGAACATGAAAAAAGCAGACATGCTCAAAAATTGTCGGTTCGTTGACAAAAGTAGAAATGACCACAATCAGGCCGGCTACTAATTTCTCAAAAAATAAATGGACTGTCCTAGCATGGTTCAATCTCACTTCCAGACACAGGCGAAACTGAGCTTCGCACAACTTGCGCTACAAAACAATAAAAAAGTGAAAAAAGAAAACTCGAAAACGTCAAAAAAGTAGATTTATCAAAAAGCAAAACGTTAGTTTTGAAACAAAAACATGCCAAGTCAAGAGAACGATAAATAAGCATTGGACGATATTGTACCCAGCGGTAACAAAGCCGAAAATACTTTGTCAGGAATCCTTATAGCCCAAAAAAATTAAGACTTCGGTTTTGCTGCTAGAATCCCCTTCTACGTCGGTTTTGCCGCTAGACCCTGGGGAAGCTGCAGTGATAGATTGAACGAGACGAAACCAACATGACCAGACAGGAACGAAATTTCCCTATCTCTCTCTCTCTCTCTCTCTCGCTCTCTCTATCTATCTATCTCTCAATCATTATCAATCTCTCTTATTCAATCGGAAGCTCGAGGCACAGATCGATGTAGCTACAACAAAAAAACTAAGACTTAATTAGAAAAGTTAATGAGTCCACCTCACTGATTCAACACATAAATACTCGATAAACTTGAGTTGCTTGTCAAATCAAACAATATGAGGCCACTAAGGCAATACAAGATAGGCCGAAACCTATTAAACCCAGAAAAGAAAACTAAAAAAAGCCGAAAAAAAATAAGACTAATTAGAAGCTATTAAGTCCCCCTCACCCTCAAAACAAAAAGAGGCACACACAACCTTTTTACACTCGTCGGAAGACGCAAAATGAGGTCAAGAAACGGATATAATGTAGGCCGAAATCTATCAAGCAGAAATAAAAGGAAATTACTTCGTGATATGCTTTTGCAAACTCAACTATCAGTCATTGATCATACCTGGTCTTGTGTCAGCGCTATCCGCTATCTAAGTTATCACCTTCATGCAGTGTGTTATTCGTCACTGCTTAATTGAATCAATGCCGTTGAATATGAAATTCAGGAGAGAAAAATTAGCATTTCTGATTATAAGAAAACTTCAGAAGTCAATTGATAGTGCTTGATCAACAATTACTAAGTTTCGGATATAAGATAAAAAAAGACTAGTAAATATTGTTGTTTTGTAATAGGACTTGGAAGAAAAGAAGAAGCAGTTGGAGGAGCTTGACAAAAAGCTGACTGCTGAGAGCGCCAAATTAGAAACTCTTCTCAAGGTCAAAGAAGAGGCAGAAGCTTCTGAGAGGGAAGCGAAAGATAAATACGATCAAATGATAAAAGAACTGAAAGAAAAACACGCCAATGAAGTCATGATTGAGAAATCGGAAGAAGCATTTAAGGAGATTGACTCGGATTCAAGTGGTGGTGTATCTTTTGAGGAACTGATTGCATGCACTTCTATAGATGGACCAAACCAATGTGGAGTATCGGAGACTGAAGTGAAAGAATGGTTCCCACAAAAAAGCCGAAAAAAATGTTGTCACGAAAAATTTCAACTATAATTTCTATTAAGAAATTTAAAATTTTGAGCAAACAAGAGGTTAGCCTTAAAAATATATTTCCGTTCAAAACCTTCAAATCAGGTCACAAAGCCGATAAAAAGCAGGCCGAAATCACTTGGGCAGGCTAAATTTTAAGCAAAAAACAAAACCAAAAAAAATACAAACTCAAGGTTAGTAAAATTACCAACAGAGGAAGTAAATAAAAACACTAAAATCAACTATAATCTAAGAAAAATTAAAAAAAAACAATTCTGAGCCGACAAAACACAAGCAGACACAGACGATAATAAGCTGACAATTTTTTTTGATACGAAATATTTGCAGGTCGAGTCAATTCAAACTCAGGTTCTTTGCCGTCCCAGGCGCAATCGCTATCTCCAGATTAAGTGAGCCGGGGACGCCAAGAAATCTGAATTCATTATGAATTGAACCTAAAACTACCATTACTAATTTTGAACATTCTGTGAACTAAGTTGTTTACGGGAAAAAAAGTCTAGTACCCGATTGCAATACCCTTGCTTATCGCATGGGAAACAAAAATAACAACAATGAGAATGTGAATCATTTCAGCAACATCAGAAGCAATGTTATGGTAAAGTATAGCGGGCCATCGAGCCATAAAAATCTCATAAGAAAACTTGACCCAAAAAATTAAAATAAACCCCCTCAAAAAACAATAACGTTCCCACCAACATTCAACTCCGGAATTCGTAAAGTCTCTTCAGGAAAATATAGACTTCGATAAAGTTATAGATCAAATAATGACTATATAATATAGACCAAGTGTTCAGCCTGATCACAACTTCAGTCATCCAGTGAACAAAGTAACCCAAGCGGAAAAATCTAGTACCCAATTGCAAAACCCTTGCTTATCGCAAGGGTAAATAGTTGGAAACATTGGCCAAACAATTTGAATGAAATGCAACATTGAATATAAACATATAGTTGATACGAAAAAAAAGTCATTGATAACACCTGAGAAAAAGAATGTAAAAAACTCAGCACTAAAATAAAATTTGCAAAAAAAACAATATAACCACTCACTCTAATATGATACCCTTTTTCCAACTAACAGGCCAGTTCGACTAGTCAGGAGCCTCTTTTTTAAATTGAGAGTTTAAATACCAAATTAGGCTACAAGAAACTCATTTTTCCAAAACAAAATTATTCTCAAATAAAACATGAGCGATTGGTATAACTTTAATTCCTTTTAATTTAGTAGTTCCTTTTTGAACTAACAGGGAAATTATAATAATAGTGTGGGGATGTTCGTCTGTTTACCTGATATGTTGGTGACTGTGGTGACGTCATACTCATTGTATATATCCGGCGGCTGTCCGGCAGTCTCCTCCTGGACGCCCTGCACCTGGTACTCGAACACTGGCACATTGTGGTCTGGACTGCGTCTCACTATGTATGGTTTGCACGTGTGTTCTGACTCTCCTGTTCTGAGATTCACTCTGAATTTGGATTCATCCACTGAAATAGAAAAGGACACAAACAGATCAAGCACTGGTTCAATTTATACACTCTGCTTCATTCAACATGTCTGCGGAGCAGAGCTCCAACACAACCATATCTGATAAACACTTGCCTATTTTAAAAAGATTCAAAAAAATATATATGTCCTTAAAGCTCTTTGAATTGCACGAACAATGAATGGCTGACACTTTTCTGATAGTTTTAAAGGATGGGATTGTCTGGTTATAAGATAGCCTCTGTTTTCGCAATTTTAGGAATGACACTTTCGATTGATTGCCACCTGGTTTCTGGTTTCTCAAGAGCTTTAACTTCGGTATTTTTACGACCAATTGTTTTCGTTTTCATGTGTTCCTTTTTGCATTTAATAGCGTTTTCAACTTTTCCGATGTGTTCCTTTTGGCTGTTTTTCATACTAAGATGATATCGTCAGAACTTTTTTCGCATTTCTCAATGTTCTATCCTTCGCTTTTTGAACAATTCGGGCATATCTGCCAGCCCGAAAAACCCAGTTAAAATTTTGTAAGCGCTTGTCACAAATGCCCAGTCAATATCGCAAGGGCAATGTGTTGCTGTATCTTCATCGAACTCCAATTGAATGCACGCATATTTCAAATCTGGGAGGATGGAAATAGCTCTTATTTTTTTGCTTCTGTCACTTGTTGACTGACTTATCCACTTTTGAACTTTGATATTTATTAAGGGTCTGTTCCATTAAAAATTTGAGGAAGGCAGCCAGCAGAGTAACTTGACATCAACCCGCCATAGAGTCTAAAATTGAAAATTCTTTTTGAAAATATTTGAAATATCATAAAAAACGTCATAGCTTAAAAATTGAAAGGATTTGAGCAATCATATTTGAATGAAGGCTCAATCTCCAATTGCATATCTCAAAAAATTCAAGTTTCGGAAACTAAAAGGGGTTGAGCAGTCATACATGAAGGCCAGATATAACACTCCTGAAAGCATGTTGACAGTATCCTCACCACACCATAGAAAAAAAAGAATTTCAGCAGATGCGAAGTTGCGCTTCTTAAACACGACAGAAAGAACACGACAAAAAATGCAGCTCTATTAAGCCAAATAAGAAAAAATAGAAATAAGCCTCGAATTAGTGAAAAAAAATTCGGATTTGAGCTACGTGTCGGATTTGAGCTTGCGACAAAGAGATTAAGAGCGCCACCCACTTACCACTCAGCCACGGACGCTTACAGTTCAAAACAGTAGCCACAAATAAAGCAGAAAAGAGATGCTATGAAACTTCCGAAGCTACAGATCGTGATTATAGCCGAAAAAAACACCAAATGAGCACTTTTATTTGCAAGTTTGGTAACAAAAATTCTATTCATGCTGTAACACTTTGCTCGCTAGCTCGCTGTGTAATTATGATGAATCAAAGCGTGTGTTGTTGCAGCAGCACCACATCCCCATACGTATTTTATTTGCAAATTTTAACTTTTGCTTACCTTGTCCAATTGCGATGAACAGTGGCACATGGTTTCATTGCCCAAATTTAAAGGCATTTAAGTTCATGAAAACTGATTTTTACATCGGGCAGAGGAAACGGTTAAGAGCCGATACTTTTACGATTGAAAGTTTTATCAAAGTAGATTTTGCTTAAATTTAATAAACTGCCCATAAATCAAAATACATTTTAGTTGGGAAAGCTTTCTCTTACACTGTCCCGTTGCAATATGTTAACAGTTAACTGACAATACGCCACACAAAGTGATAACACTGCTTACAAGGATGAAGTCTAGATTAAACTCAGAATTCCACTAGAAACTGAAATTGTGTAATACTAGGCAACAATGTTTCCAGAAGCTGGTATTGAATTGTAACTTTCAGCCTTTTTTCACATTTTGTGCAAAATGATGAAAAACAGCCGACAAACAATTGGAATAGATAATGAACGCAAGTAAGCAGAAAAGTGCTGACAATTTTTTTTCGAAAACATCTTAACTTTCGAAAGGTGGCGTAAAAAGTTGGCCTATGATAGACACTTTTTTTGACTAAATTTGAGAAAACTGAATCAATAGATAACTTTTCAAACAACCATTCTAGGGTTGCGATTCTATGCTGAATATATGACCCTCCAAATCCTTGTAGTTTTCGAGAAATTGCATTTTTTAGAAAATTAAAAAAATGAAAAAACTTAGATGTTTTTTTTCATATGTTTTCTCATATTCTTAGTTCGTCAGCTGGAATGAGAATTGGCCGAAATGACAGGACTAGATGCAATAACTATTCCTTAATGAGGGCTTAATTTTAGAGAAAAATAAATTTTTCCCCACAATCCTAATTTTATTCGAATATAAATTTTTTATCTTTATTACTTAGTTGCAATCCTAAATTGTTCAACGGGTAGACGTCAAGTAGTCACATACTGCGCCTTTTGTCTATCCCCTCCATTTTGTCGATTTAATAATTTAAATAAATTGATGCTTGTATTATCAACTATATGGAGAAATAAGATTACGTCTCAAATGGCATAATTCCCAAATGGCATAAAAATGAAAAATTTCCCAAATGGCATAAATTTCATGCAGCAGTTGCTTTGGAAAAATCGAGAAATTGTGAGAAAATTAGTCAAATTGTCAATTCAAATGTTGATTGACATTTCATCGTGAAAAACTTGTAGAACTTTTTATCAAAAGCAAGAAGCATAAGCTTGCGATTATTAATAAGCTGCTTGTGGTCAATTTTTTTCGACAAATCTGTTGCTTAAATTTGTTTGTAAGCCATTAATTCCAAATCTTGTTCACATGCTTTCGTTCCTGACAAAATGATAGAAATAGAAATTGATAGAAAACGTTTAAATTACAATGAAAATTTGCCATTTGGGAAAAGTTTCCATTTTTATGCCATTTGGGAATCATGCCATTTGGAAAGTTACCAGAAATAAATTCTTCTTCTTCTTTTCATTCCGCTGGGAAATCTGAAAATTAATTTCCCTTCTCGAAACTAGAATTCGATCACGTTTTTCGTGACTTTTACAATTTCGCTGTTTGATAATAGAGTTTGCCAGGCCTCTTCTTATAACTAAAGAAATGAAGTAAAAAAATCAATAATCAAACCGCGAAAAAGTACATTTGAGCCTGAACAAATTTTACGACTTATCTTAAAAATTAAAAAAACAAAATTAAAAATCATCGCGACCTATATGAGGGTCTGAATTCAGTTCATCGACTCAAAATAATAATAAGCAACAAAGTTGAGAGCAAATTAGAGGAATATTCAACAGCCGTAACTCATCGCACTTTTGAAGAAACATCTACTCACCCCCAGTCCACCCAGTAGGACTCTCTGTCCCTCCCGAAAACTGTTTAGGGGGGAGGGGATGGAATGTGGGGGGCAGATAGTACTCCACGTGGTCAAACTCATCCCGCAACACTTCATACTGCATCTGTTCGAATTCGGCCATCGGCATCGGAAACTCAGTCACATGTTTGTACTCGTCTGCTGATTTGAATTTGGATGTTGACACTAATCGGCCACAAATTGCCATATCAGCCCACCCCCACCCGACAGAGACAAAAAGGTGTTACAGTTACACGCGCGTGATATCAAATTATTCATGATTTCTTTGAAGTTCTTTAAATTTGAGTTAACCACAAATACAGAAGTAATAGTGTGACACTCCTCGCTAACAACTACACTTCGAATACATAAAGTATCCTCTCCTTTACAAATATTGAGCTGATATAATTTTGAAAAAATCTAGTTTAATTGCCTTACCAAAAGTGTCTTTCCTGTTTAAATACCGTTCAAATTTTGTCTGAAATTTATTAATACCAGTTTAATGTTTTGTCCCGGAGAAAAGCAATACACATGAAAATAAACACACATGGAGTTTGCGATAATTTTTAAAACGTTTAAATTAGTTTTCTTTACACTTTTACTCGACTGTGGGAGGGGTGTGATATGGGGAGTGTGTCTAGCCCTGGTGTCTCTGCTGCTCTGATGCGAGGTACTGTGAGGTGTCTTTCTTCGTGAGGTGTCGGTAGGCTCTCTCGTATTGTCGCGCACGACTACTGCTGCTGCTGTCACTGGAGCACAAGCGGCATTGTACCGGTAGAACAAAACAGGGGCTCTGAATTAGCTTCGAACAACTTCGAATCATCACAATCTGAAGCAAGCTGTAGAGACTATTGTCAGCAAGCAGCTCAACGAAAATTAACTGCCGCTCAACGCAAACTGTTGGTCAAACTATTGATCAATAAAACCTACAGTGCCTTTGAAGACATTTCTCGGCCAAGTATTTCGAAACTTGGCTGCAACCAACTTGAGAACAAAATACATACACAAATGATCGCATAATTTTAAAAAATTACGGTGAAGAATTGTTTCCACCCAGGGGTAAAGCTGGGCTTCGCAAACACTTGCGAGAACATGACCAAAAAGCAGATCTATCAAGTGAAGTAAGAAGAAGTAGAATAGGCCTCGAATTAGCCAGAACTCGGCTACGAGTAGGGTTCGAGGCTCTTTTTCCTTCCCCCCCCCCCACCTCCCACGACCATCAATTTTATGGTGCAATGAGTGGTTTTACAAGGTTAAATATGAAGATCAAATGTGTTTGGCACATCCTAATTAGTCCGCATGTCAATTTTCATAATGATTGGACAATGTGAACAGAAACTTTACTAGTAAAAAATTGCAGGTGGGGGGGGGGGGGGGAAGGAAAAAAAGCCGGGTTCGAATCTGCGACCTACTGCAATCAAGAGATTTTAATTCTCACGCACTATCCACTCAGCTTCGCAAGCCTAACAACCGACAAACACTAGTCACGAATAAAGCAGCTGCATATGCTAATAAATTGACAATCCAATTCACCAAATACAAATAGACTCAATTTTGCAAGCAAAAAGTTGGAATATAACAAGCTTAACTCATCCACAAAAACTTTGCATGTTACAAATCGCAAAGCATAAAACCAAAATATGTATAAATTACGCATTTCAAAAAATGCGAGATAGATTGAGTTAAGAAATTTCTGAAATCCATTTTGCATTATTGTTATGTTGGTGGTTCATTTGATGAAACAAAAAAGCATCAACTGTGTTAACGAAAAAGCTGTAAAAGCCATTTAGGTTGGAAAAAAGAAAGTTGTACTAATACAATCGCTTCGCAAGTGTAATGATGGCTGATAAAAGGGAGGGGGTCTTCACAAAAGAGAGAGAGAGAGAGGAAGGGACATCTTTACAAATAAAATTCAGGCTCTATCTTTCTTGAGCTTGGCTTGTAGCGGGGAGATCAATGTCATCCAATTTAACATGGCCGAGTCCATCTTTGAGAAGCGCATCAAAACGGGATTTATCCAACCGTGACGGAATGAGATTCGAGTCATCGACCTTCGTGTTAACGGGCCGCGCGCCTTTCTCACTCGGCCAAGGCTGCTCTTTTTAGAGCTCTACTAAAAACACAAAAAAACGTCCTAATGAAAACTTTCGACCGAAATTTGAGTATGTTCTAACGTGCGCGTTATCTTTGAATTCAAAACGAAAAGGCACCAAAGGAGCCTTTGGTTAAAAAAAACTTCGCTTTGGTTGCCCTAAAAACCTATTTTAAAACTTAAAACGAAAGGAGGCATCTTGGCTGATCAGTGATAGAAAAGCTGAGGGGAGAAGTGTCAGCCCCTATAAGCGCCCCTGGTTGCTAGGTGTCACTCGCTATAAGCTCCACTTAGTTTCTATTCTTCAATTTTAATTATTTCTATAAAAAACAAAAAAAAAAACTTTTCAAAAAAAAATTTTATTTTCTTTCTTCCTAATTTTTACAGGTATTAGATGTGTAATGCAACTAGAAAACAAGCCTATCACAAATTACAAGCAAATCTATCAAAATCTAAGCTTTCCAAGATAAAAGAACATAAGAAAAAGTTTTTTCCCTTTTGAATAAATTTGTTTTGCGTCAGAAAAAGCATAAAAACATCAAAATCTCGAAAACTATAAGGATTCAAAAGGCAATATTTAGAATAGATTTGCAATCTTACGCATAATACCCGACAACATCCTAATACGAGTTAAAAAATCAAAATAAATAGAGGCGAAGCGATACAACACAAACTTAGAAAAAAAAATTAAAAGCCGAAAATGATTTTTGTTTTTATAAAAGCTAGGTCATATAAACTTTCATATGTCTCGATAGAAAGACATTCCAGGCAAAAATGCCAGACACTTGAATTTTAACACAGCAACAACGGAACAAAATTTACGAAAAGAAACAAAGCCGACAATCTTTGAGCAGACAAAAGTTGAGCTAAACACAACTATGATTTTAGGAAAAAGACCCACCCGAACAACAATGGACAACTCATGCACTTTCAATTACAATGAAAATTGTTTACAGCACAAGAAAATCAGTGATGTGGGAACTAAGCTGACAATCTTTCAGTAGACACCAACTGAACCGAAAAAAGATTTTCTGAATTTTAAGAAAATCTTTCAAGTCCCCCTGAAATTAGAACGAACAACACTTTCACTTGCAACTACAAAGAAAATTGTCTGCAGCACAAGCAAAACCGTTGTGATAATTTAGCCGACAAAACTTGAGCGAACGAACGGATAACCAACAATTCATTTTTCTTTGAGACTTTTTTCCAATTTCCTTGATCTGAAAAAACAAGGTCCGGCCACGGCTCGAAAACCAGGCATTAGGGTACAAAGGCAACTACTTTACCTCCAGGCCAAGCCGAAGCAACCTGGAGTGTTAATAAAAGAGAAAATCATTGAAAAGAAGTCAGCTGCAGAGAAAAGAAGTCAGCTGCCTTTTCCTCCTCCTCTTCAGCAAGTGATTCAACTGAGTTTGCTCAACTAGTTTATAACCAGAAAAAACTCTTTATTTCAGTTTGATAACACTTGGTAACCGCAAGTGTAACAAAGTTGAATTTTTGAAAAAAAAAACGCGGGTAAGTTCTGAATTTCCTAAAAAGTAATGGTTTTTTAATTTGTGCAGAGAAACAAAATTTGCCGGCTGCTCATTTGTCGATAATTATCTGATAAAAAGGAATTAGCATAAAACGTCGAGAAACTTTGCTCAACGTTTCTGCATCGATGCATATTTGATTTCCTTGAAGCTCACAGGGTTTTTGAAAGCTTGATGTGAGTATGAAAACTCTATTGGTATAAAAAGCAAAATCACTTTCTGCAAATAACTTTACAAAACTATTTGAATGCAATTTGTTGACTGTCGAAGACAAAAATTTAGTTGATCGTATACATATAAAATGATTCATGTACCGACAAAATTTTATTAATTTTGAAATTCATCTGATCTAATGTCAAACATACTCTTGAAAGAAATCATTTTGATCAGTTTCTTATGCATTAGAAAAATTGCATTCAATTTCGAGGAAGACGTACTACAGCATATGGGTACATAATATCTCAATTTAGAAATAAAACCGCAATGTCTACCTAGTTTCAATTTGATTTTTGCAATATGACTTGTGAAAAATAATTTGTTGTCTACAATGATACCTAAAAAGTTACACAAATCTTTAGGGCAGAAAATGATACTATCTAGAGCAACATAAAAATGGAAGCTTCCGCATTTTTATTGAATTAATCAACGTAGCTTATCTGTATTTAATGTTAATTTGTTCGAAACTAACCAAGCATTCATATTTAACAAATCGGACTGAAACTCAATAAGATTTGAACTACACGCAATCATCTGCAAAGAGAAGAACCTCGGACGTTACAGGTACATTAGGCGTATAATAAATTTACATAAGGAAAAGGAGTGGACCCAACACAGAGCCTTGCGGAACACCCAAATTAATTGTCAGCCAGTCAGATTTTTCATTATTTATCTCAACACAGCTTTTAAACCATTCCCCGGACTGATAATAACCCGGTTCCGTAGAGCTTCAATTTATTCAGCAAAATTTTCTGATGGAGAGTGTCAAAAGCTTTTCTTAGGTCAACAAAGAAACTGCAACGCAATGTTTAACTAGTTACGAATCTTAATTTTTCTGTTTGTTAATTTTTATGTAACAAATAATTATTTTGTATCACAGAGGACTGGAGGACTGTGTAGAGTGGCCTAGCGTTACTACAGTGCCCAGAAGGTTGCTAGCTTCTTTTTCAGTTTGTTCTCGCTAGATTTCTTAGCGAGAAAAAACCAAGGTCGTAACTAATGATTTTTCTGGTGATCGAAGAACAGTGTGTGAAAAAAGACAAAGTGAAAGATTGAAACAAAGTTCACAAATTGTTCAGGCGCCATTTTGAAGTTGACTTTTTAATGTTTTCATTTTGCGTATTTTATGACATTGAATTCTGCTTTTAAATACCGAAATTTATGGCAGTTCGTTATTCTTTGTTGACTTGTAATTTCCGATAATTACGGTTAATTTACGTATGAATTGAAATGTCAATCGGCCAGCTACCCGGAACCGATCTGCCTCAGAACCGAAACGAGGCAGAAATACAGTTGATATTAATACTTCCACGGAAAGGTTGCCGACACTTACAGAGACGCTTGGTATCGAGTGGAGTGAAGACACTTAAATGAAATCAGCTGAAAGAGGAGTAGAGAAAAAAGGGGAGTAGCTGGAGCGTATTTAAGCGAGGCAGCAACAAGCCTCTCCACGTAAATAGATTTCAGTTGGAGGCTTCGAGAGATCAATTCGGGTATAAGGACAACCTCAACATAGTTGGAAACCACTCGTGAGGACAAATTTGGTATTGTTCCTGTATCAACTACTCGTTGGCGTACGGTAAAAGAGACAGTTGATCCGCATTGCGACTTCTGAGCGGAGGTTTCAAGTGCCTGGAAGGGTCTGTGGCTTCAAGTATCATTCACAATTTGGGTTGTCAATTTGGTTATTTTAGTGCATGCAAATACTGTACCGAAGACGGCAGTTTAGAGTCATCAGACTGAGGCAGCATTGGGCGTAATTAATTGCGTTTCGTTACATTAATCTCAGGTGAAACCAGCAACGGCTTTTAGCACAGAGCTTCGCTGATTTCCTTTAGTTGCTTGATACAATATGGAGTTCTTCGTGAATGGGTACAAAGTGAGCCCTCAGACTGTTTCAAGAGTTGAAAAACTGTTCTCAAATTTAACTTTGGTGATTCCGTTATTCTTGTCTCAGACGAGAAGACGGTTTAATAAACATTTGGGAGAAATTTCTGT